TCTTGCTCACTCTTTCCTTTTTACAGACTACCCCTCTACTTCTTGAGTTTATAGACAACAGTAACTTTTGTGAACTTGAGGCATGCACTCAGCCAAGTCGTTAGATTGAAGTGTCTTCATTGCCGATTTGCAAGCCAATTGTTAATTAATTATCTCTCACTTTCCCCAAAACAGCAAATTGAATTTTTTTTCCTTTATTCATTCATGGGATGGGGGCGTTGCTTGCTAGGCAGCATTTATTGCCCATCCCTAATTGCCCAGAGGGCAGTTCAGAGTCAACCACATTGTTATGGGTCTGGAGTCGCATGTAGGCCAGACCAGGTAAGGATGACAGTTTCCTTCCCTCAGGGACATTAGTGAACCAGATGGGTTTTTCCGACAAGCGGCAATTGATTCACGGTCATCATTAGATTCTTGATTCTAGATATTTATTGAGTTCAAATTCCACCATCTGTCATGGTGGGATTTGAACCTAGGTCACCAGGACATTATCTGCGTCTCTGGATTAACAGTCCAGTGATAACACCACTAGGCCATCACCTCCCCTGGTTAATCTGTTTCTGATGGGGTTGGTTTGGAAAGGGACATGTATCAAGACTTTGGGACAAATCTTCTAATGTTTAAAAGTAGCCATGGGGTCTTTAATTCTAATTTTGAATGGTCTAATGTCTCATCCACCCTATGTCAAAATTACCTGATGGTACGTCCTGTTTAAATATCTGCTGAATCAATATTACTGAGCAGGAGAATTGAGCAGGAGTATTTGTGTTTATACTACAGCTCAGGAGTGCTGCTGGGATGGTAGTTCCTCGTTCAGTGGCGCAAAGCATTTATAGCTTCCACGCAGTAAGGAAAAGAGATTGGCATTTAGATAGAGTTGTTCACAACCTCGGGTCATGAAATGCTTTGCAAGTATGAATAATGATAGCCAGTTTATGCACAATAAGAAGCCACAGCCAGCAATATGATATAGACAGATGTTGGTTGACATGGATATTGAACTCCACTGCACTTCTCAAATCATGTAATGGGGTTTGTACATTCAGCTGAGAGGGCGGGGGCTTAATGCTTCATCTGAAAGCCAGCACTTCTGACAGTGTAGCAGTACCTTGGGGGAGCACCTGGAATATCGGCAACCCAGGTCAGGATATGGGAGCATAAAAGCAAAAAAAAAAAAAAAAAAAAAAAATTCTTGTATGCCAGGAAGCTCAGCAGGTCTAGCAGCATCTGTGCAGAGACATTTGTGAACATTTTGAATCCGATACTGATGCTGGACTTGAAACATTAATGCTGTTTCTTTCTCCACAGATGCTGCCAGACCTGCTGAGTTTCTCTGGCACTTCCTAGTTTTATTACAGATTTCTAGCATCCACATTGTTTTACTTTTATTTGACAGGTTAACAGGAGCACCTGATGCATGTCAGACCTTCCGACAGATTTAAGTGTTGCCATCATAGGCACACCAGATCCACACAAGCTGTGCCTTATTACTGTTGAGACTGAGCACTGCATCAGGGTGTGTCATTAATAACCACCATACATGATCCCAGAATAGCAAGTGTCACCCTTGCTTTGTCAGCAGTGCTCCTGCTGCATGTTCAGCTGGGGCTGAAAGGAGATTTAAATTGGTTCCCATTGCACTACAGGAGAGTATTTATTGAAAATAAACTTCTAGTCTGCTATATGTCTCCTTCTGCTCCTTCTTATGAGTCACATTCCCCGTTAGCATGAACATTATTCTGTATAGTTACTTTTACAACAGGAGTTTGAACGTTTCAGCTCAAAGCCAGTGCCTGCTTGGTTTTTTTAAATCTTTATTTTTGATAAAGTGCTGACTCCCTGGCTTAGGGCTGCCTTGTATTGATGTCATTGATAGCTGTGCTCACTGTTTGACAAGAGCAAGAAAATGGAAAACAGGGACAGTTTATTCCTGCAGTGAAGACAAGTGCCTGTTCTTGGACCCTGTGGGGGATCAGTTTCAAACAGGAAGTCCTGTTAGGTTACTGAATCCAGATTTCACTGAGCATGGAACTGTTAGTTATACTTGTTAAAAATAAAAATTAATTTCTGTTGATTTTCTATCATTGTCACCTGAAGATGTTGTGTTAGAATTTAGACCATGCCTAGCCTGTTTGGAGGCTCATGCCCTGTTGTTCAAAAGTACCCAAAGGAATTCGAGCCCAAAATTGGGTCACTGGTTTTATCAAATGCCCTGTGGTGGGTATCCTACTCATGCATTTAATTTAATACCTGTTTTGAATGCTTTAGGCAAATTGGGTAGTGTGAAACAAAATAGGCTTCGTGCCTACCCTATGGGAATTCTGGACCACTGAAACACAATTCTTTGTAAGTTTAAATAAAAAGAAGCAAATTGCTTTTATATAGCACCCTTTGCTTTGCAGTAAATGAAGTACTTTTGTAGTTGCTAACGTATTGAGGAAACATGGCAGCTAAATTGCCAACAGCAAAGCCCCAAAATAGTGGTGTGGTCATCACCAGATTATCTGTTTTTAGTTGTTGGTTAATTGACCACCAGAGAGAACTGCCCTACTCTTCAGAAAATACTCAGTCATATAGTCATACAGCATGGAAACAGACCCTTTGACCCAATTTGTTCATGCCGATCAGGTTTCCTAAACTGAACTAATCCCATTTACCTATGTTTGGCCGAAATCCCCCTAAATCTTTCCTATCCATGCACTTATCCAGTGTCTTTTTTTAAATGTTGTAATTGTACTTTTCTCTACCACGTCCTTTGGCAGTTCGATCCATACGTGCACCACCCTCTGTGTGAAAGAGTTGCCCCTCAGGTCCCTTTTTTAAATCCTCCCCTGTCACCTTAGACTTATGCCATCTAGTTCTGGACTACCCCACTCTAGGAAAAAGACTTGGCTATTCACCTTATCTATGCCCCTCATGATTTTAAGTTTGGTTTGTGGTTTAGTATCTCATTTAAGCGTTCCACATGAATGCAGTGAAGTGTCTGCCTAGATTCCGTGCTCCAGTCTTTTTAAAAATCTAAAGCTTTCAGTTTTGGAAGTGAGTTTGCTGTTAATGAGACAGTACAGCAACAATCCCTGTGGAATTAAAGGTGGACCTAAAGTGCTCCCACTGGAAATAAGTGTATCACTCACTCACTCCCTCCCCCACTGCCCTGGAGACTCACCATGAGCTGTTGGTGATGGGCCATTTGGTCTGAAATTAATTTGTTTAAAATTAGTGTGCTATCTGTGTAAGTGTGACAAGTGCCTGATGTTTGTTGAAAAGACTGAGGCCCAGGGCCCACTGACTTTGTGCCTGTTTTAAACCTGAGATGGACCTAAAGAAACTTAAACTTCATTAAATCTTCAAAGTATGAGGTATGTGGTGGCAGCTGTCCAATACTTGACCTGAATTCCTGATATCTATGAGTGGCCTTTTATTTGAGAGTATCAGCAGGCTGTCTGTTGGGGTCATTGTCACTAAACCCAATCTAAACCCTGTCATCCTCTGTGAGGATTAGATGCCTTGGTGTATATTTGGGGTGGAATCTGGAAACATCCTGCACCTCAAGGGCTGCTGTTCATCTCTATTGCCAAAAGGCAGGGATCTCTGAGTATGGTGTCAAGGCAAATGAGATGCACTAGCTTTGGGAGGTGTTTTGAAGCAATTGCAGACAAATTTAGGGTCTTGGCAACAGGATACTGCCTGGTTTCGGGCTTATTTAGACCAGATTGCCCCTACAAACACGATCCTGTACCTCTGGACAGGGAAAAATGGCTTAAATTTAGTGTGAACACAGAGTTAGTGTGTGCACATAACTCTCCTGCGCTCTGAAGTTAAACAGCAAATTGGGCGCAAGCCTTCAGGTCAGCCCTCTATTAGAAAGGGGGCTCTGTGCTTGCCCTCAAATGAGGAATTTCCATTTAAATAGATTTTCAGTGAAAAGGGCCTACTGATTCATCTCTGCACAGCGAGAGAACAGTTTTCATGTGCTAATTGCTGATTGTGTTAATTTTTGATGTGTTCTTCAGTATCATGCCGCTTTGTTTTTTGTTTAATTTTTAAATGAAAGGAAATTTGCCAGAGCTCTGTTCCCCAATCCTTGTTTCTCTTGTCCACTAACTGATGGCAGGTCACTGAATGCATTCAGAGAATGCGCAGGTCATGGTGGGTATCTGTTGTGTTTCTCCATTGTAGAGTCACAGAGGGTCCCGTGCAGTTGGATCAGTGGTATTCACCTGCCTTAACCTGCTCCAAAAAAGAACATCATCTCAAATATTGTCTTACACAACTGTAAGGTTCCTTGTTGGTGTGAACTGGTTATCCTTCAGTATCTTGCCCAAGTGGCCAATCTTGATGTGTTCTATAATTATTTGGTTGGTTGGGTCTTCACACCAAAGTCTAATTGTCCACATGAGCACACTCTAGGAGTGGCCACTGATAACAGGAATCTTTGCTAATCTTGTTCTTTGATTGCCCCATCTTTGCTGTAACTACTGAGAACCTGTGAGCTTTCTGACAATTCTTCTCTTGGTTATAAGCCTGGGTGCGATTATTTTATGGGTATTGGAGGTGATGCAATGAACAGTGCGTAACAGTCTTGCTGCACTATTTGAGGTGCTGATTTTAGGATGGGATGTTAAACAGACTTTTTCTTGCCCCCTCGGGTAGAAGAGGGACTATTCCTGGCCAATATTTACCCTTCAGCTAGCATCATCACTGAACTCAGCCAGTTCAATGGTGTTTGTTGGACTTTGCAGTGCAATTAGTGACCAAATTTCTAAAGTACTTGGCTATAAAATGGTTTGAGACATCTCAAATGGTTTTGAAATGTGGTGTATGTGCACCTGTATTGATAAATAAGCCAGGATGGCTACTGACAAGAGAACTTTGTGTTTACTGTCTTGTTGGTCTGTCTTTTTTGTGTTGGTTGCTCTGGACTTGTTTTTTGGGCTGTTGTGAGACCTATCGGAGAGACGCTTGGCCACTTTAACCGGAACCCGTTCAATTTTTGATAGATGGTGACCAGAACAAAGAAGATCTTTGTGGGCGGATTATCTGTAAATACCACAGTGGAGGATGTCAAGCAGTATTTCGACCAGTTTGGAAAGGTGAGTGAAACGCGAGCCTCACTGCAGCTTGCATTCATTATGTTTCTGTTCACATCCGTCCTCGAATCTGGGTCATGCCGTTTTTTCTTGCTGCAGATTTTTCCAGGTTAAGCCTGAAGTTTCTCTGGCAGTGGGCCCCCCTCTTCCCCACCCCCAGAATAAGGTGAGAAGAAAGGGTCTTGGTGCTTGTCGTTTTAGTGTTGTGTACTGAGCAGCTGCATTCAGAGCCGCTGCGGCTGCCGCCACTTCCTCTCCCCCCCACCCCCCCACCCCACCATCTCCACACTGCAGCCCCCTTCCACCACACACACACATACACACACTCAAACCCAGCCTGCCCAGCCTTCCCTGTTGGTGCCACGGTCACCATGGTGACAGGACGAGAGGAGCAGTCATAGACAGGTTCTTTTGTTCGGGACTCAATTCAGCGCTGGCACGCAAAGCCGGTCAGAAGTGACAAGAGAATAGGCGAACACTCCTGCGCGCTCTCCAGGGGAATGCTAAGGCAATGGGCATGAGGAGAATTGCTGCCACTCAGACTTAACCTTCAACTGTCTGAGATGACTGTCCACCCCTCAGCCACCATCCAGCCCCGAATGGTCAGCTACCCCACGGTTTACTAATCTTCTCTGTTTCCATGGTGCCTCGGACAGCTTTAGGATACAAATTAGGAGCTGTGAACACTAGCTTCTTGGCCAATGGGAATGTGGGATCATCAGTCTGAACAATGGTTTGCTGGGCTTTTTTGTGTTGCTCAGAGAAGTAACAAAAGAAATTGTAAATCCTTTTGTCAGATTGAAGTCTCCAGGCTCCCTTTCTTCGAGGCCCTGCTGAAGACCTGGACTGACATTTATTTGAGGGAGGTTTATAAAACACAACCTAATGTTCAAGTCAGTTGCGCTGGGTCAATAAATGGAACGCACACTTGAAAATCCAATTTCTTCTGATCAATTATGTGGCACCTAAATTTGAATTTGGCTCGACCCTTCTAATTTTCCCAGATATTACAACTCCAGTTTAAACAGCAACCCCTCTGTTCTGTAACCAGCCCTCATGTACCAACAAAATTACCTTTTGAATGTGTCCCTGGGTAATGGGGAATGGTTCAAAGTACAATTGGGAGTAAGGTTCTATGGCGGGCAGAGGAGGCGCAGCATGGTGATTAGTGGAGGATGTTCAAGAGGAAAGTGGCCAAATGGTTGACTGACTGTTAAGGGTGATACATAGAACAAAGGGTGAGCCAGTGTTTGTGGCATGTGAGAGTTTATGACTGAAGGAGTTTGTTTAGATTGAGGTGCAACAAAATGGTTTGAAAGTGAGTTTGAATACTTTTCCAGTTCTCTTGGGCACAATTTGGAGAGCATGTGTTTGAGTTAGTGAAGTGGAATTGCGCTTTCCTGTTTTGAAGCGTGTTGGTAATTTAGTAAGTCACAGTGGACTCTAATTTATGCTACCCTCCTGTACTGATCCTTACCTCTTGCAGGTAAAATGCTTCAAGCACCGGGTAACTCTGGTGCTAGAAAGTACTGATGAAGCATAAGGTCGAATGAGTAAACAGGACTCTAGTAGTGGGCAGCCTATTACAGCTTGATGAGGAGATGCGGCTCTCTCATTTCAGTTTCAGGTTTGAGATGGGGATTTTTGGGATGGGCCTTGTAATGCACTGGATAGCTTCAGAATTTTGGTGCCTTGCTATGTCTGTTAAAGGAAAGGCAATTGTAGCCAGTTCATTAGGCACTAGAGCTACCCATTGTGTCTTTCTCTATCTGGGTGTCCCATAGCCCCACCGCTGTCTCGCTGTCTCACTCGCTTGCACTCTCAGGGTCTGTGTTGGTGTGTTCTATCCATACAGTTCTGCACTCTCAAACCCTGTATTGATCTCCAACCACCAAGGGAGCTAAAGCCAGTCACAGTCACTGACGATGAGGAATGGCTGCTCAGCCTCGCCTAACTCCTGTCTCTAGTCTGTGAAACTCAGATTTTGCAGCCAGCAGCAAGGCAGTGTTGAGCGTGAGAGCTTACCCAGTAACAGTTACTACGTTGGACCTCTGGGCTGAGGGAGGTTACCCAGTGTTGCTGCTACGTGGTCACTGCCAAGCAGCAAGTGCAGGCCTGACATTTTCCAAGGACAGAGTAGGTTTCACCCGCTTTCGCCTTGACCAAATGGCCAATTCATTCCGTCCAGGAGGGGAGGGGGTAAAATAACCAGCGGCTCCTGTGCAGTTGTTGCTCCTGTTTAGGCTGCTGTGGAATCCACTCCCCTTCCCTCCTCTAACATTCCTGGTGGTTTCCACAGTAACCGGAACCAGAGGCAGCTTAGCAAAGCTGTCTCTGATAGAATGACCATGTAGGTGAGGTAGTGGAGGACCGTAATATCTTAGTTCTAGAAATCATTTACATTTTAGTCTATAGTCTTGTGAGCCTTAAGTTTTAGTTTCATACTCTTTGGAAGAAACCTTAGTCATAGTTTTAGTCTAGTAACTTTTCTTTGCAGACTCTAGTGATATTTTAGTTTTAGTTTTGGCTAGAATTTCACTCAAAATGTTATTTGCTGCTTTCCTTATTCTCGTTCTAGTCTTTTCAGGAGTGTTTTTAAAATTTTTGTTTCCAAAAAAATTGTTTTTACTTCTCAAACAACGAACAAGAAATGCTGAGAGATAATCAAACTGCGGTTTGAATGAGAGCTAAAGGGAAGATTCCCGCTGTTTGTAGCAAAATCGTAAGTGTGTTCTTTATGCGTGTGTTTACAATTTCATTAGACATAGTGATTGACAGAAAATGGTTTGTCCATTTGTGTTAAAACATCCATTCCTCAGGTTAGGAGGTTGACTATTTGAGACCCAGATAGAAATTTGAAATCTTTCTAATCCTAATCTTTAATCTTAAATTTCATGAGAAATGTAGTTTCCAGTTCATTTTTAATCGCTGACTGTGTTTTCTTTACCTGGCCTGTTGAAGATCTGGTCAGGAGTCTGTCTATCAATGATGAGAGAGGTGCCAACACTATGACAGAGCACCTCTGAGAGGGACAGCGCTATGGGATTGTTTTATAGCAGGACTGGAAAACTGGGGGAGGAGCAAATTACTCCAATTCTTCTTTTAAAGCCTTGGGAAAAACAGCACAATGCATTTCGCGCATTTCAGTGATGTGAGTTTGTACTCGAACAGCATAGTGTTTACTGAGGGCTGGATATTTTTTGAAATGATTTCTGTTCCTTTGCCTTGGCTCTTTTGTACTCACAGGGCTAAAGAGCAAATTTGGCAGGGACTGATCTATAATTGACCTCTGTGGTGCTCTGCTCCAATTCAAATCTCTCTCTTCCCTCTAACCAGGGCTTATTCCAAACAGATCTGCAACATCTAATGTGGTATCCTATTGAACGGTAAATGAGGGCGTTTGGGAAGAGAGCGAACATACCAATTCTCAGACTTTGAGCGAATTATAGGTTGTGATTTAGAAACCAGGATGGAGTTGCATTAGAAGATAAAGTCATAGTATCTGCTGCTGTTCTCAGTTGTTTGACTGTGGAAATTTATTTTTACTAAAAAGAAATGCAAGTTCTGCAAAACTGCAGTCTGATCTCTGCTAACGACAATTCTGTGGTCTAAATTTGATATTTCGGGTTTTGCTAACTCCTCTGCTTTTGTGTCCCGTGTAAGTTGTAGACTCCACTCGTTCATAAAATCTGTTGAATATTTTTTGGTATAGAATTATGAAGATTTAACTTTTGCTTCCTGGTCAAAGTGATGCTGTTGTGAATTACTGTGTAACATCTGGTAACCTGTTCCAGGAGAGCAGCTGTACTTCGAGGATTAGTGGAGGGGAGCAGGTGTTGGTGTTTGTGGTCTTCCTGTCATCAAATGCACTTAGTGGGCGTAATTTGAACTGAATGGAAACAGTGATATCGTAAATCCACTGAATTATGGACCTAAAAAAAATCAAAGCCATGATCATACAAAAATGAATGCTAAATCACAAAGATATTCAAAGGGATACCAAAACTTTCATCGAAGACCTAGGCATAGATTTGAAGGAAAATAGTGAAGCAGGATACAGGACAAACGGATTTGAGGAGGGAATTCTTGAGCCTAGGTAGTTGAAAATGTTGAAAGCTAATTGAAGGATACAACCAGAGCCAATGTTTACACTCTTTTAAAATAATCTTTTAGTTAGAATTGCAAGTTACAAGTGACTACCTCTTAGCCCAATGGACACATTTTCAAATAGTTTCTGTTCATAGTGGCTCAAGAAAATTGCCAGCTAACATCCATCACATAGCAGCAACGAAACAAAAAGAAAATATGATAGCTAATAATTACTGAAGGAAAGGGTTGATGAACAAGCGACCAGAGTGAGAAATGGAGAGTAATGGAGGAGCTATAGGTTTGAAAGAAGTTGCAGTGTCATGGGTAAGAAAGGCATCGAGAGAACTGGGTAGGTGATGGCCTAGTGGTATTAACGCTGGACTGTTAATCCAGAGCCCCAGATAATGTTCTGGGGACCTGGGTTCAAATCCCATCATGGCAGATGGTGGAATTTGAGTTCAATAAGTATCTGGGATTAAGAATTAATGATCACTGTGAATCCATGGTTGATTGTTGGAAAAACCTATCTGGTTCACTAATGTCCTTTTATGGGCAATAAATGCTGCCTAGCCCTGATGCCCCCATCCCGTGAATGAATAAAGAAGAAGAAACTGGGGTTCAAACTAAGTCACAAAGTATTAGGAATGATGGGTAGGAAAGTTTTTGATAAGTTGAAGTGTACAGAGAGTGGATGCCTGGTAAGGGCATAGAAGCGAGCTTTAATGGAAGATGGTTTGAGGCAGAGGCAGTTATAGGTGATATGTACATAAGTGCAAGTTTATGCAGAGCATACGTATATGCACGTATATGTGAGACCAGAGGATTCATAAGTTGTGTGTAGCGTGGCCTTCCATGACAGAGTGCACGGAGTTGGGGGTTTGGGTTTTTAGGGTTTGTGGCAGGGATTCTCATTG